TGAATGTTCAGGTGCTCAAAAACAAAATGTTGAATATCATTCAGCCCTAAGACGTAGTTTATTTTCTCATATGCCACCATATATAAGATTTTCATCACATGATATTAAAGGTAACCACAGGGCACAGACGATTTTATTTAATACTTGGTTGAAAATTATTCATTTTTCGATAATAATTATTATTACAGGTGAATCATTTCCAGTGACTTTGAAATGGTTATTAAAGTGGAAAATAAGTTCTACTACTCCAATTGTTGTACGTCGAACAATTCAAAACAGTGGTTTTAAACTCGAAAGGAGTGCTTTTATAGTTCAACAAACAACTGATCTTTCAGACATAAGTAGTAATCAATCCAATCGAAATCCCATCTCTTTACAACATCACTGGGGTGTTACACCTCCTGTAGTTGACACATACTGTGGTGTAGCTTCTCCACCTAACGAATTCATGAATAACCTATATGAATTTATTTTTAGTTTCGTGTTCTATTTTTGAGTTTATTAGTGGTATTTAATTATTTAAAATTATAATTTAAATTGCGTGATTCCATTTTAAAATGGATAAACAAAAAAGGGTTAATTGGGAAAGTGGAGAGAAAGAGCTACTAACTGAAATCGTCACAAAATTTATCAAAGTGATTGAAAATAAAAATTGTGACACAAATACGAATAAGTCAAAACTAGAAGCGTGGTCACAAATTTATAAAGAATATAATGGTAATTCAAAAACTCAAAGAACATTACTACAAATTAAAGGCGAATGGAAAAGAATGAAAATAGTTGCCAAAAAAAATGTTTCGTCATATAAACAAAATTTAAAACAAACTGGAGGAGGTCCTCCACCAGAATCAATAAACAAATTAGACATGACATTGCAGTCTTTAATGCCAATGGACTTTATTAAAGATGCAAACGATTTTGACTGTGACAATGACGGCTCAACTAAAAAGGTATAGTATTTATAATTTTTATAATAATTGTAATTATGTGTTTTTTGTATTTTTTTTCTGAGCTATTTATAGACATTTTAAATATTTTACTTTAATGTTGTTAAAAAAAAAAGTAGTGATCGTAATAATAGTAGTGTTTTTAATAATATTATTGACTTTGTTATTCTTTTTAACTATGATTATTATTTTTTTTCTTATTTAGATTGGCATAAACAAAACTGTAACAAATGATTTCAAAATATTAGAAAAAGAGTCACCTGCATCATCGACAGCGACTTCAAATACCGGTATACAAATATGTGCTGAAAGCTTAGATGAGTTTTTACAAAGAAATGATTTTGAAGATGTATAAGCTAATTTTATGTTAATTTAAACTATTTATTTGTTAATAAGTTATATTTAAATTTAAAGCACATAATCATTGATCATGACGTATTGATACACGATGAAGACCTTCAAAAAAATAATCAAAGTTGTTCAATGATAAGACCTGATCTTGAGGAAGTAGATGAAAATGAATACAATTATTCACCTACTACAAATAACCAGACCAAAAAATTAATGTCTTTTACTATCATATAATGCTACCTAATTATGTTATATAAATATATAATAAAGTTGTATTGCTATTAGTAATTTATTTTTTATATGATTTAATTAAATATCACAAAAAATAATATCAAATATTTAATATATTATATATATAAAAGTAATACTATATATTATATATTATATTATAATTAATTGTTAAATCAATAGTGACGCACCATAGAACGATATAAATACGTATAAACGTATAAGTACTGAAATCATATGGGGGTACTGTTCTTAGTAAGTACTAAGTAGTAACATACCTTTATATTAGAATTTGTATTTGTATTAGGTACAAAAAAAAAAAAATCAAGGATTTAACGGAAATAATTTAGATATACAAATGACTGAATACGAAGCAAATTTATTAAAAATACAAAAAGAAAAGTTTGAATTAGAAAAAAAGTTTTTGACTTTAGAACATCACCAGCGCTCTCTCATAAACGAAGCAAAATTGAAGTATTATGAATTAAAAACAAAACCGTTGGAGAACTTGAAACAGATTCAAGATTTAAACTGTTCTGATTAAATATAGGTATCAGATTACATTTTTAATTTATCGTCATCTACTTATATTACGCAACAATTCTGTTATACCTATACATAATATACCTATATACTTTAATTATTATAAAATACTAAACATTATTCTTTATTATATTTATAACTATGTTATCAGTTATTTAGATACCTATAAGTAATAAACATATATTATGTGATTTGTTTTTAAACTATTTATTTACGATTGTTACAAAAATATATTGTTAAATAATAAATATTAATATGATAATTATTAGGTACTATAAAATATATTATGAAATTTGTTTTTATTTACAAAAGTTACAAGAATAAAAATAAAAAAGTTTTAACTAATAATAATATGATATGTAATCTACCTATAATATAGGTACATATTACATACGTTTAATAAAAAAACTGTCGTATGTACTGCGCTCTTGCTAAATTACCTCTATTTTGGTTTATTTTTACAACATTATAATTGTCCTCATCTGCAGAACTATCACTTTCATTTTCTTCATTATAATCATCATCTTCACTACTATCTTCTGTGCTACTATTGTTGTTATCGTTAGGATTTATATTATTGATATTTAAGTGTTTTTTAAAATGTAATTTCATGTTGTGTAACACTGATAATGCTACTATAGCAACAGTGGCGCCGAACTATTTTTTTTTAGGTGTGGCAATGAACAATTACTTATATAGCCACCTCCCCCATTGGATATTGGCTATTAGAACTAAGTCGTGGAAGCAACCTCCGCCCCACCAATTTTTAATCTAAAAAATATTTTCACAAGTTATAATATTTACCGCATTATGTCTACAATATAGCATTATTTAATATTTTAACATATTACAGTTAAGATTATCTCCAGTAAAAGCCTCCTCAAAATGAAAATCAAGTTTTTATCATCTAAAAACGATATTCACAGTCACTGATTTAGTTATTTAAGCTTTTAGCTAGGTAGGTACATCATATTATCATTCAGTAATAAATAGAACTATTACATTTTTTTTCTTATACCCATGTAAATATATGTATATTATTTGGTTAATGGTTTGCATAATATTTTTTGAGTATAATGTACTATAGTAATACCTATATTAAATAAAAATATAAATAATTGCTTTAGTTTCAATTCCAATGTAATTTTCACCTGATTCTTATATATTCCTATACATATAATAGTATAATATTGGTAAATATAGGTAGCTATCTAGATGATATTATAAAGTTATATTTATATTACAATTTACAGCTATTTAAGTAGGTAACTCATTTTACTAATAGTAAAATATTGTGCATTATAAAACGTCTAATTTCGTCCAAGTTTCAACTTAAAATTTCTATAAAAAAAACTGTGCTTATATATTTTTTAGATTTTTGGTAACAGTATTACCCACTCATGGGAAATCTCGTTTTAAATTTCCGATCTTTAGCTATAAAAATTGAACATTTTATAAATTTTTAACCAAAATAACGTTTGCGGTATATTGACTAATTTTGTAAAAACCTGTACTTAAAATGCTTACAAAAAAAAAATAATCGTACATAATGTATCTTCATTATTTAAAAATTGCTATTATAACAACTTATGAGGAACCTTGTATTAATTGTTTAAGCTTTTAGACCCGTCTCTAAATAGGTCAAAAAAAGTAGAAATATTTTGAACATTTCATCATGTAGGTACCTTTAGACAGTTGTAATATTTTATCATAATCATTTGGTGAAAAATTGAAGTATCTATTTATAGTTAATTTTTGAATTACAACAAAATATAAAAAATCGTTTGAGGAGAAATTATTAACTAACTGTTGAATATCCATCTAAAAAAATAATATCAAATGTTTAAGCGAAATGATTCCAGTGTTGGGAATAGCTCACTAAAATAATATCTAGATAAAGATTTTTAAAATAAAATATCTTAAAATGTTATCCAGTAATAAATTAAAATATATTATAACACAAATATTGGTTAGGTTACAAGAACACAAGAGAATTACAAGGACAGTTACTAGTCGCGTTGACTCGTTTGTATTTTGTTTTGATAATCTGATCCTAAAATTTAAACTCTGAAGTAGGTATATCAATATTTATATTATAATGGATACTGTCTGTATAATAGTAATAGAATTGGCATCGGGCATCAAGCGGTGGGATGTCAACCAACAACCACCAATAACCCACCACCGATAAATCATCCTACAAATTACAACAAATACATTTTATCACGACTTAAACTATAGACGGTTATTTTTTTAATAATTTAAATATGTGTTCATTGCTATTGTCAATTTAGATTTAATTTGAGAAAAAAATATCAATTAATCTCAAATTATTATACTATTATACATTTTACTACATTTATAACGAATACTATTTAAATTTAAAGAAACATATAGTGTTTTATTTTTTTTGACATTGCTGACTAGCAGATAAAAAGATGCAAACACTATTTTCATCACAGCCAATTGAGAAGTCTTTTGGTAAATAACTATAGGAGGTTAAAGTATCATTGTTTTTAAGACTTCAAGCTACATTGTTATTAGCTAGTTTTTACTGTGGACAATATTCCACACCATTATTTTTAACTTGCAATTCACTATATGTCATGCGAGAAGCTCAAAAATAAATCATAAAATGAACTTCGTTTTTTTGACACTCCATTCGGTTTGTGTGGCGGCTACGGTTGGTACGCGTTTTTTATGTGAGGCAGATAGATCGTCGCAAAGAACCCTGGTGGTCACCCATCTGGGAGCCTGCTCGACCTCTGCACACGTTATATTAGTGACTGCGTCCAATCACCGCGATTAACCAGGTCACCATTCAATGAACTCTAATACCATCCACGTTAAATTGTATATTATTATTATATGTTTATATTATATTTACCAGTTTAAATTCTTGCAAATGTATTATATTTTATAACATTTGACATGTCAACAAATTGTATACAATATTACAATCCTTAATATAGCAATAGTACTGAGTAGTAAAATACAGTAGTAGTATATACAGATTAGTGTAGATTTAATAATTTGTTGATCGTTGCCACATCGATAAAAGCATATATTAAAATTACTTGACCGTCATATTTAAAAAGTGATTTTGAAAGGCTTTAATATAGATACTTGTATATTTTAGAAAATTAAGGTTTCGGAAATATAGTTAAAATATATTAGACTAGGTACGTTATGTTATTTGGTATTAGCAAGACTTAAACAGTTAACCTAACTATTAATTAATCATAGAAATAATAAACTAGGTATAGGATCAATGGATCATAGTCAAATATAATTTTAATGTAAACATTCAAATTAATAATTATGTATATTCGTATAACGTATCTAGTATACAGAGTGTGACAGTATAAATGAAAAAAAAAGAAAATTAAATATGTCCATTTATGTTCAGTTATTACCTAATAATGAAATGTGTACCGGTTATTAGGTATTTTTTTCAAAAATGATAAATTACAACTATAAGACCTCCTTTTCGATTTTTTTTGAAAATCGTGGTCGTTAAATAATTTTTTTTGCTGAATCAAAATCTTGAAAATTTACCCATATCAGAAGTTCAAAATGAATGAACATATAAAGATTAAAGGCATACATTTTTTCATAAGCATTTTAAATTCAAATTTTGACAAAATCCATCATAATCGCTCAAACATAATCAAATTATTTTGTATTTAAAAATGTATATAATGTTCAACTTTTATAGATAAGAACTAAAAGTTCAAAACAAGGTTAAAATATATTTTATAAATATAAGTTATACCTATCTATTTAACTATTGCAAATAATAGGTAACAACTAGGCAACAAAAAACAGCGGTAAAACAGAAATATTTACACAACACCAGTTTTGAATTAAATTTACCTTCATATTTTTGTTGTAATTAAAATCATAATCAAATACTTAAAGTACCTACATACATTTTTTATAGACCTGATATTATAATGTCTAAAATATTTAAAATTTTTTAGAGTCTGCATTGGTACCTATAAATAATTACCTTATTTTAAATAATTATTTATAAGTAATATTAACGCAGGTAAAACAGAAACTAACTGCAACTATAACTTAGCATAACTACGACCTGCAGCCACATCTTAATTGGTTGACGAAATCACTTCACATGTGAAACTTAGTGTGCTAAGTATTGTGTTAGACTGTTGACAGCTATTTTAAGTCGAGGAAAAATAATTAAATTAATTGAAAACATTACTTTACTTTAAACACTATATAATATATATAAATACCAAAATTCAAAAAAGTTAAAGACTTATTGGATACAATTATTAAAACAATATTCACTGTCGAAATATTACAATATAAATAAACTAAATCTATTCGATTAAACATTCACACAGTGTATAATAATAATCGTTGTCAACAATAAACAATATACTAGTCACCAGCTTCCTATTATAATAATAATAATATTTGTAGCCAGCAGTTAACCTAACCTAACCTATTATTATATTACACATAACATTATATTTATTTTTTATGTACTAGCCACCACAGCATAATATTATCAATTTTTTGTACGACAGAGTTTTTTTTTTTTTTATTGATCTTAAATTCATCGACATCTAGGTCATTATGCGTCATAATAATATAATAATAATTATAAATATAAATATATAAAGTCACTGAAGTTATTGACAATAGTAGGTAGGTAATATTGGTAATAGGTAGGTTTGGGGTATATTATGTGGAAAGGGCAGAAAATGAGTTATTTCAGTCGTAGGCGACGCACAGTGGTCTGAAATCGAATTTTAGGCGAAAAAAAGTGAAAGAAAATTGTTTGCTCGTCATGCAGGGAGGTTATAATATGAATATAACTTATAAGATGTTGCCCACGATGTAGATAACCTAAAGTTTATGTTTTGTAAGGACCGTGGCATATAGTTTTCAGTGTTGCCCCAATTACTTATTCGAGAGGGGGTAACATTTATTTTACCCCCAATGATTTTTTGACATCATACAGCATACATTTTATACATACATTTATCTAGTTAAGTCTCAACACAAATTAATGTGACTTTCTGGTAAGGTTTTCTTTTAACTTTTCTTTGGTAGACAGTCGAAAATTTTTTAATTTTCTTAATTTTAAATGAATTTTGTTTAAGTTTCAACTTTAGACCCATATTGAAAATAATATACTGTGGATTTGTGTTCAGATTGACCGAGAGAGAAAATTATTTATCGATGATAATTAAAAATAAAAATCTTTAATGCTCAAAAAGAGTCTATATATTTTGAATATCTTGTAGGAAATATCTTTCAGGAAAATTCTTATATATTATATAAAAATTTTGTTAAAATATAAAGTTTTTACGGTTAGTCATTTTTGAGTTACAACAGAAAACACAATCGATTTTGTCGATAACTGGTTTTGTATAAAAATTACTTTTATATTTGTTATTTTTTTTTTTGTTTTTCACGACGCTTTTGAAAATTACTGGGAATTTTTTACTTTTGATTTTTGACTCAACAAAGTATCAACTTGATTCACTTCCCTATCAGACAAGATGCTGAAGTAGAAATTTGAAAATAGAATTTATGTTTTAATGGTAAAACTATTAATTAAATTATTAGTTATTGGCTATTTCTAATGTTATCACACAGTACACACTGCACGCTGCGACACACTAGGAAGTCATCTTTCTTATATTTGTAGTATTTTGTACAATATCTTTTTACACTTAGGATTACGATTATCCACCAATTTTGGTTGTACACCCACCCCTTAAAATAGGTGTTCGGCGCCACTGTATAGCAACTTTAGCGTTCTCGAGGCTTATGGTCATTCCTCGCAATAGACAGCGAAAACGTTGCTTGATTTGTCCAAATAATCTCTCTATTGTGTTTCTTGCTCTGATGTGTGTGTAATTTTATTGTCGCTCCACATCGTTTTGAGGATTAAGAATTGGTGTTAACATATATGGAGTACAAGCATAACCACTATCACCAAGTAAGATACCATTTATTGATCCATTTTCAAATTGTTCCTTGATAAGACTTTCGTTCCAAATCCTTGAATCGTGTGCACTTCCTCTCCAACGAGCAATTACATGCAATATATGACAATTTGCATCACAAATTACCTAAATTATTAATTATTAATTATTATTTATAAGTATTAAATATAATTTTAACAAGATTTTAACTTTATATTTTATAAATTTGACTATTTTAATAAAATACATGTTATATGGCTTACTTGAACATTTATTGAATAAAAGCCTTTTCTATTAATGTACAATTGAGCGTAGTCACCCGCCACCTTTTTGATCCGTATATCCGGTATATGTGTACAATCTATCGCACCAATTATCAAAGGCATATTAAATTTTCTACGAAAATCTGCCTTTTTAGAAGCTAACTCTTCATTGGTCAATGGAAACTTAATATAATTATTTTTTAATGATGCTAGTGCTCTACAAATTTGACTCAAACATCGACTAACTGTCGGTTGACTAACATCATGTAAGTCTCCATTGTCGTCCCGAACCTTAAATTATAATAATATAGGTACTTTAATTTGTTTTAAATTCATAAATGAACTATTACTATATAAACATTAAAACATAATCAATAATTACTTGTCCTCTAGCTAAATAACGAAGTGCAATCAAAAATTGTAAGCTCGGCGAAATTGGTTTTCCGCGATTGTTAACTGCTCGAGGTAAAAAGTCACGAATTTCGTTTACGATTTGTAAGCATTCTGCTTTTGAAAATCGATACTTTTTACGAAATTCATTATTAGTAAGTTCGATGTAAGGATTTTTACGAATCTTATATATTTTCCGCTGTCTAATAAAATGCACATTTGTTAAATTTCTTACGCGTCTAACATTTTGTACATTACCGATATCCATTTTTCGTAAGTATAAAACGCACAAGTTTTTAAAACACGAATGAATTAAATTAAATGATAATACATATTACATATTATTAAGATAACAGAGATTTTTATAATAAACCAACTTTAAACCTAGTATTTACCTAGTTTATAAATCAAAGGTTTATCGTTAAACTTAGTCTATGGTCTAAATAAAGTTTATCGTCTATGAATAACAAAAAAGATAAACTATTGTTAAACTACTAATAAACCAATGTTAAACCAGGTCCAATTTGACTATGAATAACACTGTGAATGTTCAGGTGCTCAAAAACAAAAACAAAATGTTGAATATCATTCAGCCCTAAGACGTAGTTTATTTTCTCATATGCCACCATACATAAGATTTTCATCACATGATATTAAAGGTAACCACCGACGATTTTATTTAATACTCGGTTGAAAATTATTCATTTTTCGATAATAATTTGTATTACAGGTGAATCATTTCCAGTGTGTTTGAAATGGTTATTAAAGTGGAAAATAAGTTCTACTACTCCAATTGTTGTACGTCGGACAATTCAAAACAGTGGTTTTAAACTCGAAAGGAGTGGTTTTATAGTTCAACATACAACTGATCTTTCAGACATAAGTAGTAATCAATCCAATCAAAATCCCATCTCTTTACAAAATCACTGTGGTGTTACACCTCCTGTAGTTGACACTTACTGTGGTGTAGCTTCTCCACCTAATGAATTCATGATGTTACCACGATCCAGTGAGTATATCTGTACTTTTTTCTTTTGTATTATCCTACTTAAATGTCAATAATAATAATTAATGTTTGTTTTTATTACTATTGTTTTTAAGAATCGAATGATTGGGTGGGAACTTGGGATAAACAAATGAAATCGTTATGTTTCAAGACACTTTGGGAACAGCAAAAACTGAACCATTTCCCAGGTACTTTTCAAATTGGTCATAAAGATAGGTTGTGGAAAAATTTGCAACGGTTAATGTTAAAATATGGCAAAGAACATTTTGGCTTTATACCCACATCATATATATTACCTCAAGAAGTTAGAATTTTACGACGAGTTTGGGAGAAAAATGATCAATACAAATGGATTATTAAACCAGTATTATTATTAAAATGAATCCTAACAATAATGATTAAACTAATATCTAGAATTTTTATTTTATTTATAGCCAGCATCTGTTAGAGGATCTGGAATTCGTGTTATATCAAAATGGTCTCAAATACCAAGGAATATACCTTTAGTTGTACAAAGGTACATAGATAATCCATATTTAATCAACGGCACCAAATTTGATTTAAGACTCTATCAGGGGCGGATTGGGGAGAGATTTCGGCCAGGGAAAATACAAAGTATACCGGCCCACTTACCAATTTACCAAATATTTAATTTTAGCCAACATAATATTATTATGTATTACTATTTTAACATGACTACACGTTTGGCGAGATATGAAATTTATAAAACTTTATTCGTAGTGTATATACATTATACATCGATATCAAATTTATTTTTATTTTTGAACAGTTTATGTTTACACATTTATAATAGTCCAAAATCCAAGTACTTATATAACACAGTAAAAGTGAATAATTTAAATTACTAATGTTACGATTTTTGTATTTAATAAGAAAGGTTATTACAATATTACCTATTCAATAATATTTAATAATGCGTTTTTAGACTTAAAAGCTTATAATTAACTTCCACTTAATATACCTGATAGGTAAATTAACAGAATCAACATGCAAAATGTATGTGTATCTACTATCTTTTTATTTTCTAAAAAATGTTTTACTGTGGTTTATTCATAATAACATTATGTAGGTACTTTAATTCTAAACAACCAGAAAAATTGTATAGTCTTGTTTTTCTTTAGTATTTTTATGTAATATAATATTGAGTAAAATGTTTTGTCTCCGTCTTAGTACAATCTAACAAATTATAGTTCAGTATCTGTATTCACCAATCTGCAGCCGAAACGATATAATAATAATATTTAGCTGTAGTACCTAAATAGTAAATATTATAAAAATTATTGTATACCTACGTAATGTTACTTCCCTATTATTCAATAATTTATAAATTCGCCTAAACGATCGGTTAATTTCTCGCCCAAATGATATATTCTTTACTCAAGTTAATTTTGGGTTATTCGCCCAAACGAATGACGCTCAAATTTTTTACACCCGAAATACGTGTACTTCCGCATTAGTATACTGAATTAAAAGTGTATGAAACAATTTTCGGAAATTTAAACCCTGTCTAGGTTTCGGTATTACAGTGCTTACTGCTCAAATCAGGTTGACTTATTCTATTTTCTACTTCCGCGGGATGTCAAGTAAAGTAGACTTTTTCCGAAGTTTATCGTTACCTAGAGATCACCCAATGTGGTTTTACATAACATATCAAGGGTTGTTTTCGATTTTAACTGTCCTAACAATAGTGACCCCGCTATATTACATTTGCTATTTTTGCTTTTCGAGAAATAATATATTTTTGCTTCCTGTCTCTCATCGTTGTGTCAGCAATCCACCGTAGGTAGATTGCCTACCTGATATACCTACTATTGCATACTGTCCGCAATCCAATTCGTATTATCTTATTTTGAAAAATCGGAAAAACATGCAAATTTACTGGGCTGGTACCTAATAGGAATTTAAGAATACATAGTTATTTGAAAAAGCAGCCCACCGGGAAAACTCCCGAATTCCCGGTGGCCCAATCCGCCCCTGGACTCTATATACTCATCACTTCAATCAATCCTCTTCGTTTGTATCTTTATGATAATGGGCTTGTACGTTTTGCTTCAGGTATAATATTTTTTGTTGTATCATTGATACTATTATTTATTTTTCTTTAATATTTCAGTTAAGTATTCATCTGATCTTACCACTATATCTGATAGATATATGCATTTGACAAATTACAGCATTAACAGACTTAGTAGTCAGTATACTGAAAACGAAGATGCTGATGCATGTCAAGGTCATAAATGGTAAATATATTCAATATTGTATAAATGTGTATTTATTTTAGACTTAATATTAGAATCTAAATTTAGAATAATATAACGATTATTAATTAATTACAACTACTTAGGACGTTACGTTCACTATGGACGTATATGGAGAATGAACGCAAGATTGATGTTAAACAATTATGGAAGAGCTTAGAAGATCTAGTTGTAAAAACGGTCATTAGTGGTGAATCACCTATGAGTCAAATGTGTAGTTCAAATCTGAGCAATAGATATAACGCATATGAGTTATTTGGAATAGATGTTTTGTTTGATGAATATCTTAAACCTTGGATATTAGAGGTACCTTATTAAAATTACAAGTTTATACTTTTGATTAATAAAACATGTACCACGTTAGGTAAATATATCTCCTTCATTACATTCATCTTCTCCACTTGACTTGGCTGTCAAAGGACCATTAGTCAAAGATCTCCTGAATATGGCTGGTTATCATATCCCAAACAATATGGACCATAATACACATGTGAGTTATAATCGATTGCACAAATATTAATTTAACTTAATAACTAATTTCCATAACTAACCATCAATAAATATTTTTATTAAATTAAAATGTTTGTGTAGTATTATTTACGCAAGGTGTTAGGAGTCAAATCAACACTATGTTATGACAAGAGATTATATACATTGAATTTATCTGCTAAAGAAAAAGAAAAACAAGAATATTATACAAATATTGAATCTAGAGAAGAAGTACAAAATTATTGATTACAATTAAAAGTACATATAAATTAATTACACCTAATCTTATTTGTTTAGTATATTGATAGCATATTGGAAGATCTATTACCAGATGATATTCGACATCTTATTGTGTATGAAGATGAACTTACACAAGTTGGCTCGTATGTATTTCATTAATACATTTTTATTTTCTACATTTGTAACTTACTAACTTAATACATAAAACAAAAACATACTACTAAATTCTTTATGATTTTAGATTTCAGAAAGTATTTCCAACCACTTCATCTTTTAAATATCATAAATACTTCAATAGCTCCAGATATTATAATATGCTTCTTGATGCATGGGAATGTAAATATAGTAACAACAGAGGAGAAGGTAAGAGCTATTATTAACAACTCTAAGTATGCAGTATGTAAATTAATCAATTTAAAAAGTATATAAAAATACAAAATTAATTTTATTTTCAAGGTATTACTGTGCTAGAAAAGTTATGCCAGTTAAAAATTCACCTGGAAGTGCCAGACATTGATGAAGAAGAAGGAAAAGTAACACATTCAATTATCAAAATATAAATATATTTATTTGTATGAGAAAAATAATAAACCACTTTTATGAGTCATGTAATTGATTTTTAAAGTAAATATTTATAATTTTTTAATTTATCAAAAAATAAGAATTTTTCAGTGTACCTGCCTATAAACTAAAGATGCAACAAGTCTTCATATTTATTACTTTTTTTAATTTAGCATTTAATTTAATTACTTAATTGAGCATATAATTTAATTTAGCAATTAATTTTTTTTTTAGCAATACCCACTTGTCCACCTTTTTGACTTCAAATATGAAAAATAAAAATAGGCATGTCATGTATAAGTATCTAAAACCGGGCTCGTGGTCAAAATAACATTGGTTGTAAGATAACAGATATCAAAGGACGAACATAATTATTTATCTTCAAAAACAGGATACGTAATACATTTTACATTTTAAATGTATGTACACAGCAAGTTTAAACTGACATGCATAATATAGTAAATTATCTATTGACATAACTGTTTTCAAAATTCAATATTAAAACTCATATTATATATTATTATATCTATTTATTTATTTTGCAATTTCAAAAGATTTATACAAAATTGTATTTTTTAGACATTTTGTTTAAATTTACCATTATTTAATACAAAGATTATTAATTTAAGTCCAGAACATTTGTTAAACATAAAAAAATTAGAATTATAAAAAATATTAAGTATTAGAAAACATATTGTAACCCTTCATATTAATCAAAAGGGTTGAACTTTGATGACACAGATCACAAAAGTCTGTCAAAGCTTGATTGTGTAAATTCCTGGTTAGATTGAATGACAGTTCAAATGGATCCTGCAAAACCAGTCCGTAATTTTTTTCAAAATTTGAATCAACTTTGGCTTTAAAGTTTTTAAACTTTGTTCTCTGTATTTTACTTAGTCCAGGCAACTGGCTGAACTTTTCATAAAATGCATGCTTTTTTATTAACCGACCAGTGCTAGTAGACAGTACATTGTCCTTTAACGCTTTCTTATTGGCATAGAATTGAAAAAAACCCATTAAAAGTTTTGGGCGTTTATCTTCACTGATATAGAACGAACATTTTCCGAACGTACAGTCCCATTCTGGTAAAAATATATATATATTTAGGTATAACGTCAATAGAAAAAAGAAATATATTATAATATAATATGCACCTTCAATGACTTTATGATCAGCTTTAGTAGCAGTTTGCCTGAGTTCGATCAACGATGGAACCACTTTTTCCGTCATCAAATAAAACAGTACCAGCCATACCAAGGCATAGCTGGTGAACAAGTTCTTGTCTTTTTAAACCATTTGGAGAGCCCAAATCTTAACAATAACACAGACCAGCCACTTCACAGTAATGTTTGTCGACAAATAAAATCTGCAACAAAATTTAAAAAAACAAATTATAACCATATTTCTGGCCAAATATTTAACGGTGTCACATACTTGATTAGTTTAGTGTTATACGTGCTAAGACCACTTTGAAGGACACATCGCATATGAACTTTGATGGTACGTGATAAAATGTAACAATAGGCACACGGCAATTACAGATTGATTTCACATTTTGAAAGACTTTGGGTTTCAATTGACAATGTTTGGTAAATTGTTGTACAAATTCCACTTGAATTTCCTCATTATTTGCTATTATTCCGTCAAACGTGTCATCTGTAAATAAAAATCACTGTCATTATCAATATTATTCAACAGCACTCGCTCCACAATTTTCAGACCATCAAAGATTTTAAGAACTACCAACTAAACATCAACATTTCTAATGAACCTAATACATTGTAAGAACTATTTGAGAAAAGTATCCATTATTTTTACACACATTTTCTATGCATATAATATAATATTATGTGTACCAACTAAAAATGTTTTAAAACATGCATAACTAATAATATTAATAATAATAATATAAATAATGTTTATGCAACTACAGTGAAGTACTAAGCAATTTATTGGATGCAATCAGGCGCGGTTCTAGGACTACATTATCGTATGGGCAACAGTAGATTTATAATTAGGTTTTAACTGCGAATAATATTTCTCATTTCCTCCCCCTTCCCCAATAAGGGGCACCAGAAATTTTTGGTATGGGCTGCTGCCCACCCTGCCCATACACTAGAATCACTGGATGCAATTTATAAACGGTGATTTATTTTTTTTAATAAGTATACATAAATGTACAATAGATTCATATCAAAAAGACACGTTCAACTAGAACACAAATACATAAATAATATTTTATCTGAGAAACATAAAATATAATTTTTACACTGCTGTCTGATACATGCATATTTTATCAGAAAATCGTTAGAAGTTAGAATTATAGATCAAAAGATACCCCACAACTGCTCATATCAAATATAAATTTAAAAAAAAATGCCAATGGTGGATACAGGTCAATGTTTTTTAATGACTATAAATGTCCTTTGTAATGAATAACAACTCACAACTTATAAGGCAACACTTCCAATTGTGATGTATAAGTTGACTTGTATTATATGTGTTCCAGGTAATCAGCAGGGCTCGTAATTTCATGCACTAAAAAATGCGTAAATAAGCATGCATTCATGCACTAAAAATTGTGAAAATATGCTCTAAAAATTGTGAAAATATGCACTAAAAAGTTTGAAAATATGCATTTATATGCCCTAACAATTTTAAATTATACACTCAAAATATCCATTATGTAAAAAATCATGAACAATTTTTTTTAAATAATAAGAGTAAATCGATAAATTTTTAAGGTATTTTATTGCTTATAATTTTTATATACTCAACAGTCAAAATTAATAAAATAAAATAAAAATGAAACTTATACTTGTGAAGTTCAAATAGCTTTGTCATCATTATAAATCTTATATAGGTAGTTTTTTTTTGTCTAATTTGTGTATACCCTTATCCAGCACCTACAATTAGAACATTTGGAATGAAATACAAGCTATACTAGGACACTAGGTAGTCACACACTCACACGAGAATACAAATAAATCAAAACACTATCATTTTGTAAACGGGAAAAGTAAATAAGAACAAGAAACTTATCAAATATTTGTCTAAAAAATGTTATATGAAATAATATGCACTAACGACTGTAACAATTGACTATATATACCAAATATGCCTTTACACCAAAAAACAGGCAAAAACATGCACTATAAATTCATATTATTATTACTATAGTTATGAAACGGATTTGTATCTCAGTTAGCATTTTTTTCCTGTGTAGCAAAAAAAAAAACGCGGTCAAGTGCGAGTTGGACTCGCGCACCGAGGGTTCCGTACACACCTGTTTTCTTTTGAAATACGGAACCCTAAAAACATGCAGATGCATTAACTTATGAGCCCTGCTAATCAGTCTATCAAATTTAAAATGTTAATTTTTATATTTAATTTTACAAAAATATACATAATAAGTAATTATTAACAATGCCTTATGAGAAAAATTTTATTTTAGAGTTATAATAAAGTATGATTAATGTTAATTTTTATTTGAAAGTAAGGGCCGCCCCAGTTTGGAAATGAGGACATAGGCCCATTGTTATTAAGAGGTACCAACGACTAAAACATATTATATTTCTATTAAGTAGAATGATTCTCCTATATTAAAATTTATTTTAACTTTATGCTTGTTTTTTATAAATACAAAAAAATATACTTTTAAGTCTGCTAATAATAATTGTAAGTTGATTTGTTTACCGATTTCCATATATATATCTATATCAGTTGTATCTGTTGCTAGACATAAGCTCGAGACCAAAAATGTGAATCTTATTTGAATATGTACCAATTTGAAAGCTACATATTGAGTCACACAATTGTTGAACACGGGATTGTATTTCTTTACTGGTTAATGACAAATTCATCAATTCTAAATCACTGAGAACTCTTGCACACAACAAGCCCCAATCTTTAAATAAATCTATTGTTTCCAATGATAATACTTTTTCTAGAAAGATAAACATAAAATAATATTCTTCTTTAGACTCTTTTAATTTTATACCTGTATGATTTCCTATAATTTGTATTGTAAAGCCATACTGGTTTTCCAATTCTTTAGTATCCTCACGCATACGTTTAACTTGGGATCTGAAAGGTTATTAATAACAAAATAAACAACAATTATTATTTGACAGACAAATGAAATAGTGAACATACTATTTTCGAAAAGAATCACAAATGCATTGTTTACATTTTCGACCAGTTTAAATTTACCATATCGTTCTTGAATTATTTTGTTTAATACAATATAATTATTATTTTTTAAATTACTATTCAAGTCTATAAATAAAAAATAAAAATTTGTTTAATTTAAATGTTTTAAGTGTAATAAAATTAGCGTAAGGTATAAAATAATATTCACTTTTAATTTCTATATAAATAGTTTTGTTCTTCATATTATATTCATTTAAATTTTTGATTTTTTTTAATTTCAACTTGAAATCAAGAATCCTTGTGATCATTGGTGAGATTAGAGTTGTTATTACAATTATTGATGTTATTTGTTAAAGATTTGAACTGATTTTGAAATTCTTCCATTATTCCATGTTCCATAGTCATTAAATGCTGATCAATAGTATTAATTTGATCACTCACGAGGTAAATGCAACAAATATTACAGAATAATACCCTTAAGCCCATATCTTTGTTATGAAACTCTTTGTCGTGTTTCATCCAAACATCACGATTACAGAGAACTATATTACAAATTTCACAGTAAAACACCATTGATATGTCAATATCATTACCTGTTTGCAGCTCTCGGATAAATAATTCAAAATTCTTTCTTATGTAATTGTTAAATGCAGACTTTATTGGCTGTGGCAGATAGTTTTCTATTAATTTTGTAATAAAGTTTCTTTTGGATCACAGGATGTTAGGTTTTGTGT